GATATTTTAGCTATAGGATGCATGCACTACTGGAGACAGAGGGAGGCAGAGATACAGAAAGAAAGAAAACACCCCCCCCCGGGGGGTGGCCACATCCTTATCCCTTCTGGTCTATTCTTCTCTCAGGATTTTGGACATGCATGCACGTGCGCCCAGTATGAGTTTTAAGTCACCAGGTACGGAATTCAAACCACAGTCGACTACATGGTAGTCCAACAACATAACCACTTTGCCACCTGTGGGTCCTACACTGTACCATACTTTTATTTCTTAGAGTGTTTTTAAGAAGATGAACATATTGAAATTATTTATAACACATTTTTACCTCTCACTATACCTTTCATTTTTACGGTGTCCTTTTTAAAAATTCATTTTCTCTACTTGCAGCACTTAATTGTTCTTCTGCTTGCATTTTGAAAGGCTAAGTGTTTGTCAAAGGAAGAGAAGGGCAACAATGTCAAGAAATGGTGCTCAGGGCTGTGCACAGTGAATGTATCCAGGAATCTGCATTAACAGCTACTGTAACAAGAGTGCCTGTATTCTCCCTTTCCTTGCCTTGCAGCTTGAACATAAAGATTCCAGAAGGAGCTTTAGTGGCTGTTGTAGGGCAAGTTGGGTCTGGAAAGTCATCTGTGCTTTCTGCCATTCTGGGAGAAATGGAGAAACTGACGGGAGTAGTCCAAAGAAAGGTAAAATCAACAATACAGTCTTTCGACATCTCCTTAGGTAAGAGGCTACAGGCAACCCGTCATTAGCATCAATACAAATGTATCAAGTTTAATTGGAGATGCAAGCATACAATGGGCATTACTAGTTTATAACAAACATTTCAATTTCCACAGAAATTGATTAGCTATGGATACAGTCGTTACAAAATTCTTTCCTCCAAATATCCCAGCAGATCTTATGATCATTGTTTGACATCATTAACTGAATTGCATGTTATTATAGAGAAACTAATGTGATTTATGTTGTAATATGATTAGGTTTCTCATTATCATTCATTGCAAGTTCCCCTAAGTAATAATTATGGCTATTTATTCTCATGGGGGAATCTTTAACCTAAAGGAAACCTCAGAAAAAATAATAATAGTTTACTTTTAAGATTCTACCTTTGGACTATGGGGATGTCTACTATCAGCCATTTGCTCTACTCATAGAGGTTATTAAGAATAATAATTCAAGGGGGAACCAGCAGTTAGTGTAATGGCTATGTCGCTGGACTCCCACGTAGTCGACCGCAGTTCGCGTCCCGGACCCGGTGGCTTAAAACTCACGCCAGGCACGTGTGCGTGCGTGCCCAAGATCCAGAGAGGAGAATGGAGGAGAAGGGATTGTGGTGTGACCATCCCCCCTGGGGGGTGATTTCTCGCTTTCTGTCTCTCTGTCAGTCTGGCAAGCGCATGCTCCCTATAGTGAAAACCTCTCCAAAAAAAAAAAAAGAATAAGAATTCAATACAGACTTAACCAGCTGTTTCCCTTTTGAAACACTAGACTATCCAATGAGTTTTATTTAGATATTACCCAGTCACTCTTTCTCATCTCTTACATCATGGAGAAACTACTTTCTGAACTAGTTTCTCTTCACACATTTTTTTCCTCTCTGCAAAACACAACTCTTCCTCATAGCTTTTTTTTTTTTTTTTTTTTTTTTTATCACATCCTTATAGCCTTCCTAATTCCAGTTCTTTAGTGATTCATTTTTATTATTCCTTTTCCTCTCAGCATTTCTGGTACCTACTCTACGATCAAATATGATTTCCACAACCTTTTCTGTTAAGATTACACTTAATGCACGTGATGACTCCTCTGACATCTTAGTAGCCCTGTACTCTTCACAGTAATACAGCCGCCATCTCTCTGTAACTTTTCCTAGACCACTGAGTGTACTTTACAAACATAAAGGAAATCAGATTTATTGTATCTTCATTTAGTTTTTCAGCTGTTTTGACCAGGCAATTTTTGAGTACAAACTATCTTCCTAACATTTGATACCGGGGAAATAAACATGAACTATGTATTGTCCTCTTCTAAGTTCAAAGCCTAGTTAGGAAAATACCAAGATCAATTATGATAAATGTTTAAATCATATATATAAAAAAAAATAATCGAGGAAAAAAACAACAAATTCTTCTTTGAGGAGTTATAAAAAGAATCGAATCAGCGATAAGATAGCCTTTATTTGATCTTAGAAACGAGCAGGAATTGATAGAGGTAATATAAATTGTAGGTTTCACCTAATGCATTAATAGCAAGAATGAGCAGAAAGGACTGGAGTTAGTATTGACTAAAATAATGTGCAAAGACCTAGCCTAGTTCCTGGCAGAGGGAGTTAGCTCCCTGTAAATATTTATAGTTATTGTTGTCATTATAATTGTTGACTGCCATGGTAAGATTTAAGGATTATAGGGGCCTGCTGGTAGCATAGTGGTTAAAGAGCCGGATTCCCATGTGGCCTACTGAGGTTTGAGTCCTGGACCTGGCAGCTAGAAACTCATACCAGGAGCATGTATGTGAGTACCCAAACCTAAGAGGAGAATAGAAAAGGTATTGTGGTGTGGCCATTCCCTGCAGGGGGCAATTTTTTATTTTCTCTGTGTCTCTCCAACAAGCACATGCACCCATAGCAAAAATCTCTCCAAAAAAAAAAAAAAATTAACGATTATTTCTAATTTCTTTGAGTGTTCATTGTTGAGAAATGTTCGTGACGATCAAAGAAACCATGACAATACCATTGTTAATATTAAGGTGGAGACGACACCTTTGCCAATACTAAATTATAGATGTCGGAAGATATCTGTTTCTGTAACTATTCACTTTAGCTTTCAGGATGCTATTGGTCTGGATCAATGGCAGAATTTAAAGTATCATATTCTGAATTATTTTCCCCATTATTTTTGTTCCTGACTAAGGACTGGAGTTAGTATTGACTAAAATAATGTGCAAAGACCTAGCCTAGTTCCTGGCAGAGGGAGTTAGCTCCCTGTAAATATTTATAGTTATTGTTGTCATTATAATTGTTGACTGCCATGGTAAGATTTAAGGATTATAGGGGCCTGCTGGTAGCATAGTGGTTAAAGAGCCGGATTCCCATGTGGCCTACTGAGGTTTGAGTCCTGGACCTGGCAGCTAGAAACTCATACCAGGAGCATGTATGTGAGTACCCAAACCTAAGAGGAGAATAGAAAAGGTATTGTGGTGTGGCCATTCCCTGCAGGGGGCAATTTTTTATTTTCTCTGTGTCTCTCCAACAAGCACATGCACCCATAGCAAAAATCTCTCCAAAAAAAAAAAAAAATTAACGATTATTTCTAATTTCTTTGAGTGTTCATTGTTGAGAAATGTTCGTGACGATCAAAGAAACCATGACAATACCATTGTTAATATTAAGGTGGAGACGACACCTTTGCCAATACTAAATTATAGATGTCGGAAGATATCTGTTTCTGTAACTATTCACTTTAGCTTTCAGGATGCTATTGGTCTGGATCAATGGCAGAATTTAAAGTATCATATTCTGAATTATTTTCCCCATTATTTTTGTTCCTGACTTTATAGTGCCATCCTAATTTTCTCTAGTTAGGTAAAATGCTCACTGTAATAGCATGACCAACTCAACACTGAGAGTTTTCAAAGTGCTCTTGTGGAGCTCTGTGTCTCATTGTCTCAGAGGGCGACTTTTTTGAGGCACATTTTATATCACTGTCACAATGCTCAAACTCTAAGATTGCCTATTCTTGCTAAGCTTTCTCTCTGAAGCCTCCTACTCAACTCAGTATCAAAGCCTTACACCAGACACTGTTTATTTCAAAATACTGAGTATTCAGTGTTCTTTGATGAAACATCAGACATTTCCAGTTCATTTTTAAATTAATCACTTTTTTTTAATTGCCAGAGGGTTCATGCTCTCACCAGAGAGATACAGAGAGGGAGAGAGAGGACCCCCTCTCCCAAATAGGGTATGATCATGCTGAAATTCTTAACCTTCAATTTCATCATCCTGTGGGAATGTGGTGCTTGCACACAGAGGTGATCTTTTGTTTAAAGACATTGGGGCCAGATTTTGAACCATGGTCAGCCATGTGAGATCCAGCTCCCTTAACCACTGGGCTATGGGGCCAACCCAACAGAATTTCTATTCTAGTTTGATTATAAAGATTGAAACAGGACCAGCAGATAGCATATTGGTTACATCACTGGACTCCTACACAGTCGACCGCTGTTTGAGACCTGGACTCACCAGCTTAAAACACATCAGGTGAGTGTGTGTTATGCCCAAGATCCCGAAAGGAGACTGGAGGAGAAGGGAGTGAAGTGTGACCATCCTCTCTGGAGGGTGATTTCTTGCTTTCTGTTTCTTTCTGTGTCTTGGACAAGTGCACGTGCCTTATAGCAAAAATCTCTTAAAAGAAAAAAAATATTGAAACAAAAACTTGTATTCATTTGTATGTGAGAGGCAAAGAATAATTATAATAAAAGGAAAATTGTTCATCTCTGCAAAAATTGATCAACTGTTTTTTAACTCCTCTAATTCTCTTGTTCTCAGTGTAGAATTAGTTCTGGTTTCTTCTTTTTTTTTTTTTTTTGAGAGATATTTTTGCTATAGAGTGTATGTGCTCACCAGAGACAGAGCGAGACAGAGAGACAGAAAGTGAGAAATCACCCCCCAAGTGGGACTGGCCACACCTGCTCCTCCATTCTCCTCTCAGGATTTTGGGCATGCACGTGCACATGACCAGCATGAGTTTCAAGTTGCCAGGTCCGAGGTCCCACAGTCAGCCCTGTGGGAGTCCAGCCATGTAACTATTATGCCATCTGCTGGTGCCCGGTTCTGTTTTATGTTATGTGATTTTTTTTTTTTTTTCATGTTCGTCAGTCTTTTCTTCTGTGTTCTAAATCTTCTATCCTGCTTAACTTGCTTGGTATGTAGCAACTATTCAAAATAGCTATCACCTGTAGACCAATTTAAATGCTTTTCTAATCAAAGGTTAGATTAGTCACTTCGCAGACAATTCAAAGGCAATTACTTTTGTGTTCAAGATCAAGTCAGATCAGAATTATATTGTTTTTGATCAAAAGACATTCTGTGCCTTACATGTTTAACAAAGAATTAAAAGTTAATCTTTGATCTTTAAAGTAGTTGGTAGAAATCAAAAGGCTAGTGTTGCATACATGTCTGTATCGGAAAGTGCTTTAAATGTCTGGTGTTGCTATAGAGTATGCAGTAGTCAGAAACTTACAAATAAATGTTTGGATAGAGTCCATGGGGCAGATGGAAAGGTAGGTCTCTAGTTCAAATAGTACAAGAAAAGATGGCTTAGTTAAGAGGACGTTCTATGCAGCAGGCTGTCATCTACTTAGGAATCACTCAGTTATAAAATGATCAAAAAATGATAATGTTTTGTGATTAATATGAAAGACACAGAAATGTGCTGTCCAGATCCCTCTTCTAAGAAGGGCATGTTGCCCAGAAGCAGGATCATGGTCGGCAAGTTACCTCTATAGAAGCTGGCCTCTGCTGCACATGGCATCGCACACTGTCCGAGTGTGAAGAACTGAATTACACAATTCCTCAAAGTGCATATGTTCAAGTTGTAACTCTCAGTACCTCAGAACTGGGCTATATTCATAGACAGAGTCTTTAAAGAATTGTTGAAGTTAAAATAAGTGCATTAAGATAGGCCCTAATCCATCCCATTTAACTGATGTCTTTATAAAAAGGGGGAATAAAGGCTCCTACCCATCCTTCGATTAGTCACTCCTTGCTCTCAGAAGTGTGTTTTCACTTTTGGTTTGCCCTGTTACCAAGCTTTGCTGTCTCACACCAAAAAAATTGAGGGGTGGGGGTGGATTTAGGACACAGACACAGTTCACAAAAGATCGGGTGAAGCACAGGGAGAAATTAGCCATCTATAAGCCAAGGAGAAAGGGCCTGGAGAGAAATCAATCCTGTAACACCTTGATTTTTCACTGAAAGCCTCCAGAATTGTGAGAAATTACATTGTCGTTGTTTAAGTCTCCATTTGTGTTACCTTGTTATTTTAGCTCTAGTGAATGCACACACTCAGCAGCTGCTTCCAGATCCACGTAACTGTGAAAGAAACCCCAGTGAGAGTGAATCAGAACCACAAGTAACTCAGTGAAGGATGCACTGCTAAGCATATATAAATTAAAACATAAGATAGCACAATCTATATATTGTAAGGAAAAAAATACATTTAAAAAATGCATATATTTTAAAGCTACAGAAGGCAAAATAATGGCCTCCATAAGTTAATTAAATATGGCTCACACAACTTATTTTCTCCTTGTTGAGAATGTTTCTTTCTTTCTTTCTTTCTTTTTTTTTAGAGGCTTTTGCTATAGGACATGTGTGCTCACCAGACAGAGAGAGACAGAGAGACAGAAAGCGAGAAATCACCCCCTACGGGGGATGGTCACACTGCAATCCCTTCTCCTCCATTCTCCTCTCGGGATCTTGGGCACACACGCACACGCGCCTGGCATGAGTTTTAATCCACCGGCTCCGGGATGGGAACCGCGGTCAACTACATGGGAGGCCAGCGACATAGCCATTACGCTAACTGCTGGTTCCCAAGAATGTTTCTTTACTTCTTTTTTTTTCTTTTTTTTTTTAGGGCTCAGTGGCTTATGTTTCTCAGCAGGCCTGGATTCAGAATTGCATTTTGCAAGAAAACATTCTCTTTGGCTCTGCCATGCAGAAGCAGTTTTATGAGCAAGTATTGGAAGCCTGTGCTCTCCTTCCGGATTTGGAGCAGTTACCAAATGGAGATCAAACTGAGATTGGAGAAAGAGTAAGGAAAACATAACTTATCACATGCAGGAATAAAATTCCATTGTGGTGTGGTAATAAAATGTTTCTAGCCTTTTGTTGAGGACTTGAAGAGCTAGACAACTAAAATTTTTAAAAATATATCCTTATAGAATTCCTATGAATGAGATGGTAGTACTACAGATGAATAATTATAATTGACTCTCTGGGAAATAGCTGAAAAGACAGTAGGAAATTCTGTTGTTAGTATTCACATGGGGGACTAAAAGCCCACCAATTACATCATCACCATTTTTGTTTTAGCTGCAGGCATAATTTCACTTTCTTTTGTTCTTTCTTCCTTTTTTGTTTGAATTGCCAGAGCACATGTATACTCTTCAAAGAGAAACAGAGAAGGAGAAATCAGCCCACTGAGGCACGGTCACAAGGCAGTGCTTTCATTTCCCCATGTGGATACTAATGACAAAATGTCCTGCTGACTTCCAGTCCGCCATTTCTCCATCCTGTCAGGATCTGGGCACGTGTGCCTGGAGTGTTTTTCCAGTTGCCAGGGCTGAGACTCATCCATGTGGAATCTGGCTTCCCTTAACTACTGGACTAGGTCTGCTCAATGCTCTTTACTCTCTAATGAGTGAATATGAGTTTTTTCCCTGTATCTCTTGTGTACAAAATCAAGTCCAGGGCAACAACTACAGAGCGAGTCGCCAATAGTGGTGCCCACGTCCAGTCTCTGAAGAGGCTGAGATGATATTGTCACTGATGTGCCTGCTCCACATTGGCTCATTCCTGATAGTGATTATATGTAAATGGAAAAGAATTAGATTTTTTAGAAGAGGAACTAATTTCCCCAGTCATTTTACTCATTGTTCTATTTAATTTTTGTCGTGTTAATGGCCATTACTATCCTCAGTGTTTTGGAGTTAGGACAAAAAATGAAGCTATCATGAGCCAAAGTATGAACCTCAAGAGATTACCCTTGACCCATGACTGAAATCTCCATTAATTAAACATGAACGCAAAAGTAGCCTCTGCCCGTGATTCATATGTGCTATAAGGATGAATAAATAATCTTTACTGAGTGCTTTGAATTTCTGAAAAGAGAGTCAGCACAACTTTGTTAGGCATTTTTACCCTGGCCTCATGTTATCTAAGAGCCCCATTATATAACATAATAAATAAAATATATGATGAAATTATAGAAAGCAGAACATATAAAATCTAGGATGAACCATAATTTACTCTTACTTCATTAATAGTAACTTGTAAGTATGTTTTCTAGATAATGTTAAATAATTTATTTTTCCATCCCCTGATGTTTTCTTCTGGCATTTTCACTGCCAGAAAAATTATGTCATGCCTAATATCTTGTAGAAATGTATCTTTTTCTTCCAACTTGTTAATATATATTGACCAATATATTAATACACCTAAACTCTAAAATTATAAACTATCCAATAGTATTGAACTATAAGAATTTGAAAAAGAAAAGGAAAATCCAATAGAAGAATATAACTATAATATGGTCATTAAATCTACTGCCATTCATAATTTCTGTTTTTTATAATTAATTTTGTTCCAATCTGATCTTGTACTTAAAACACATAATTTAATATTTCAAAAGGAAATCTGTTTAAAATTTTTATGAAACAATGTTAAAGTTTTTTCTCATTTTTGCTCATCTTTTCTTTTGAGATTCTCTAGTTGACACTAACATTAATTTATTATATGCCCTTTTCCATCATGAGGTGTATAGTGGTACCCCGTGAAATTTGTTACTGCACATGAGTGATATAGAAAGTGTGGGTATCCAAAGTATCTAAGCAAGGTGGTGACATAATTACAGGATAAGTGATGACAAGGTAGAGGACAGATTGGAGAAAGGAGTGATAGGGTGATAACAGCCAATGCTGATATGGTCATACTCAGTGTTCGATTTGTTCTATGTATTTCTACACCCAGTTTATTGAAGGCTCCCAACAAACCCATGAGCTGGGAACTGTTATATCTACACACACACACACACACACACACACACACACACACGCACACATATCATTTTGCTTTATATGTACTTTCTTTTTTAGAGAGAGATTCTTTGCTATAGGACACTTGCGTTGACTGAATTGACAAAGAGACGGAAAGAGAGAAATCCCCCCCCCCCAGGGGGGGATATCCACACTGCAATCTTTTCTCCATTCTCCTCTCAGGATTTTGGGCACAAATGCACATGCGCCTGGCATGAGTTTTAGGCCACTGAGTCAAGGACTCAAACTACAGTCAGCCACGTGAGAGTCCAATGATACAAGCGTTACATCGTCTGCTGGTCCCTAGCATGTACTTTTTAATACCTATCTCCCTTCAAATTGAGAACTCATGAGAGAGGCTTTGTCTCATATGACTTTGAGTCCAAGGAGTAAACATAGCACCCAGAATTTAGTTGTACTCAGATGTTTGTTGTTTAGGAGTTACATGAGAAATGCAAAGAGACGATGCCATTTTATAATTACAGGTCATTAGCCAATTCTGGGTTGTATTGGGGGGCTTTTAAACCATACCTATAAACATTGAACATAAAATAAATCAAGTAAATTAGGCCTGGCACCATAATTCTCCATACATGACTATACATGTAGAATTTAATTCTCACATGGAATAATGTATATTCCTTATTTGTGCTTTCTAGAGTTGTACTTTTGCCAACAAGACTTGTACTAATCTTTTTACAGGAGAAAATAGGACAAGTTGATTACTGCTTTGGTAATTTAGCTATTATTTTCAATTTCCTATGTGTCAATTTAAAAATGAACAATGCTGTCAGTATATGGTTGGCAACCAAAATCTTGTTTAATATTCCACAGGCACGACTTTTCATGATTAGGGATTTGGATTTTTTCCTTAACCATTTGTATTTCCTTTTGAGAATAAGCAGTTAAAAGAAAGTAGGTATACCTGTACATTTGTACAGGTTAGTAGGGCCAGGAAATAGGTTGGGGATAGGCCTAGGAAATCATGGGTAAAGAATTTGAGTGGTTGGCCTCATAAAGCAGTGTTTAAGCTCTGTGTGCAGGAAGCTGGATCCCACATGGCCAACCCAGATTCAGGTCTCGTTCCCAGTGGCTTTCAGGCCAGGCATGTACCTGTGTGCTCAGAATGCTGGTGGGATGGCAATTTGGAAGGAAAATTACTATGACCTGACCAGGCCCTATTTTTGTTTTTTGAGGGAGGGGCGGTATTTGCATGTTCTCTCGGGTGTACATGGAATGCATAATTTTAAGAGAGGTTCGTGTGTTCATCTTGGCTGGTTATGAACGCATGCTAAAGAAGAGCACTTGGGTGTAACTGCATGTACTTTGAGATTTACACACTTTTCTTCAAGTCTTGTTCTGTCCTGCTCCACTTCAGGGAGTAAATATCAGTGGGGGCCAGAAGCATCGAGTAAGTCTGGCCAGAGCTGTCTACAGTGGAGCCGACATCTACCTCCTGGATGATCCCTTGGCTGCTGTTGATGTGCATGTTGGAAAACAGCTTTTTGAAAAAGTGATAGGGTCCTCTGGCCTCCTGAAAAACAAGGTAGCCATGGTGTCATTTATATGTTTGGGGGGATAAGGAAAGAATAATCCGCCCAGCACCATGCCTAATATTGCAATTATTTTGCTTATTTCTTTAAGCAAAGTAGTCAATTTTCACATAAAACAGGATGCTTATATTGCTCTTTTATAGACAAATGTTAATGAACATGTATATTTGTAAAATAATATAGATGACTTAAAAATAAAGGCTTTGGAGCTAACAGGTAGCATGATGCTTAGGGGCGCTAGACTCCTACATGTCTCCCTGTGGTTCGAGTCCCGGACCTGGCAGCTTGCTTTCTTACTTTCCCTCTATCTGTCTTTCTCTGATCAAATTAAAACAAATAAATAAATAAAGTTAAATAAAAATATTTTTTTAAAAAATAAAAATAAATTAAAATAAAGGCTATGAGTCATGAGCTGACTCAAACATGTTTCTCTAGTAGTATCATACACATTTTTTTTTTATGTTTCTGCCATAGGGCACATGCCCTCACTAAAGAGAAACAAGGAGAAAGGAAAGGAAAGTAAGAAGTCACCCTCCTACCCCTGGCCCCCCAGAAGAGATGGCCTTGCCACAATCCCTTCTTCAGTCTCCTCTTGGGGTTTTGGGCACACACACACACACACACACACACACACACACAGCTCTCAGCATGATTTTTAAACTGCTGAGGAGACTTGAACCTCGGTTAACCACGTGGTAGTCCAGCACCTTAACCACCACATACCCTGCTGGCCTAGTACTATACATTGTTAAAAGTAAGCAGG